CAACTTGCTATTGTGTTTTCAATCTGACTTGTGAGAACTTTTTTATTTTTCTTGTAGCCATGTTTTTTTGAATCACCACAAACTTATGAAATACCTTCCATAAACTTCTGAGATGCCTGGTAAAGATATCTAAATACATTTTATTTTTTTTCTCTTGGCTATTATGATCTCTGAGATGATATATTCGCGGCCTCCCAAATTCCCATCATTGCACCTCAGTAACAATTTTCTGGTCAGATGTTAAGCCAAAAACGTAGATTCCCTTCCTATCTTCACCCATCTGAAAGATGTTATTGCAAGTCCCTCTACAAGAATTTATTGAATGTTCTTGTTGGAGAGTTGTGGGTCCTTGCAACTCTAGCTGTTTCCAGGTATAACAAAAATGTGAAATGTGAGATTAATTTGAACAATGATTGCATGAAGGGAGAATCTGATGTAAAACTGACTTGGAGAGACTGGGACCAATAGAGAAGCAGGAAAAAAATGACCAGCCTTGGGATGTAGGTATATGTGTATAGGGTGGCTGGGGGAGAGCATGGACATATGCAAGCTTTATTTTACAAGCACTCACACACCTGGGCCACAACGGTGTGGAATTGATCTGTTGTCATCTCTCAGTTCCCTGCCTCATGGACAATTTATAGTCATTCTTCCTGATTACCCTGACAGTACACCAAAGATGATGAAGTATCAAGAACCCACAATAATTGTAAAGAAATATATAAACAATTCTATAAATTATTTATAATAAAAATCAGACTATATGAAAATGTTCCCTCTTTTATCGTGTTCTCTTCTTTTCAAAATATTCTTCAACCTTCAGGATTCTCTACAATTTCTCCATTGGATGTAGCTTTCCCTGACAGATCTAGGCAGACTTATCCACCCTTAGTTTTGTGTTCCATCCCTGCATTTGGTATTATAAATATGTATGGGTCTGTCATCTTCATTTTGACTTGGAACTCTCAACCACAGATAATGTTCCTTAGTCAGTTTTCTATTTTCAAAATATACTATATTACCTAGTAGGTTCTAGATGTATATAATAGCACATAAACTATGCTAGCTTGAAATTATTAGGACTGCTTTACTTACATGAGCTCACTTAAATGCATAAAAATGCCTTATTTTTAAAGGCTTGCTTTTAGCACTGTGACCACTAAATAAAAGTTACAGAAGTTTCCTAGGGCCTCAATAACAAGAACTTCCTTAAAATTTGAGATATTCACAAATGAAATAAACTGATTGTGAATAGCGGTCATTCCACCAATGATGTGTATTTATGGGTAAATGATAGGAAGCTTAAAGAAGATGCTGGTTTTTGGTTTTGGTTTTTGTTTTTTGAGAGATTCTCATTCTGTTGCCCTGGCTGGAGTGCAGTGGTGTGATCTCGGTTCATTGCAGCATCCACCTCCCAGTTTCAAGCAATTCTTCTGCCTCGTCCACCCGAGTAGCTGGGATTACAGGTGCATGCCACCATGCCCTGCTAATTTTTGTATTTTTAGTAGAGATGAGGTTCCACCATGTTGGCCAGGCTGATCTAGAACTCCTGACCTCAGGTGATCTGCCTGCCTTGGCCTCCCAAAGTGTTGGTATTACAGGTATGATCCACTACACCTGGCCAATATTGCTTTTTTTTTTTAATCTATAGAATACCTTAAAAATGATGAGCATGTGAATTTGTGTAGGAGTGATATCCAGAAACTGTATTCAATATTCTAGACACAAATGAAAGAACAAATTTTTATCTAAGAAAGCTTCACAACTTTCAGAAACTTCAAAATGTTTTGCTTTGGGACAAACTAATCAATTCAATGTGTGACATGGTTATCATGTGAACACAAAGCTCCAGTGTCTTTTAGCTATGCATCATTACCATTGACTTTTGTAAAAATTGAGACACCAATTATTCTTCCTCAATTTTTTTGGAAAGAGGATTTCTAAACATGGAGTTTATGTAAAAAGCACCAAAGAATTTTTGATCTTGAGAACTGGATTAATTTTTTCAATACTATATTTCATGGCTTCTCATTTTCCCAACATTTGTTATAAGATAATGATGCATGTTACAAGGGAATATGTGTTATGTGTATTTAATTGCAGTGTTTTAAAAATATTTTTCAGTGATACATAAAATAAAGGTGCAGCATATAGTCCATAGTGTTTAAATAGTCAAATAAATAATGAGTTGAATAATAGTGGCTGAGAGAGTTTGTATGGTTCTAGTGTCAGGACTGCCTGAGTTCAGATTCTACATTACCTAGTGTAGCTCCTTAATTTCTGAGTATCAGTTTTCTCATCTGCAAAATGGGCATAGCAATAATAACTACCTTATAGATTGCTTGTCAAAAATAAAATGAGATGATGCTTGCCATAGGTTAAGGATTTCCTTTTATTATATCAGTCTCAGCTTGTCATAGGCAGGAAGAGTTAATGCTTCTCCCATTGCCAAAATTACCTATTTTAAAAAAACTACTGAAACTCTTGGAATATCTGACATTACTTTATTTTATTATGCAAATAATTTTGACCTTCAGAGATTATTTTGCTTCAGAAGCCTTGTTTCTTCTTTACTGCTAACCAAACAGTTTACTCCATTTGTACAACAATTTATAATGAACCATAAAAGAACTGATTATCTTAGGGTTTTTGGCTCAGTTACCTGTTTCAAATGCTCGGTGACTAAGAAAAGCATGTCATTTTCTCTTCTCTTGCACGCTGGAGTATAACAATAGGCTGTGAATAGAGCAAATCAAAGAGACACAAATACCAGTATAAGGGCCTATTTTGCTGAGTTTGTTGCCCTGTCATATGGTTTTAATTTAGGTTGGCTTATTGATTATGACAGACTGACAGATAGCACATTGTTCCTCTCTTGGAATCTCTAGATGCTTTAATATTCCTATTCTTATCTGTCCATTTTGATTTCTAAACTTAAATGAAATGGAATTACAGCATTCACTTTGTTTTCCTGTGCTAAGTGATTATCTCTGAAGTGCAATTTTGTGATTAGGCGAGATGGCATGCATACACTCAACTAATGCTGATTTCCCCCAGGGTGCAGAACAGATAAATTCATAATGAATGGATGTTGTGCTTTGATTTCAAATGGATGTAAAACCTCACCACACTTGGTAGCTTTATTTTAAAAATGTATTTAATTATTCTAAAATTAACAAGAGAATATTAAAATTGAACTTTAGAAATATGGCATTTAAACATAAGGGTGCTAACTGTTTATGAATGTTAATCCCCTTCAAAAAATGAAAAAAAAAAAACAAAAAACAAATTTACCTGGCATAAATTGGGAGAGTGTCACTGAAAATCTTTAGTTTAATTATTTGTATTCTTTCTAATTAATTCCGGAAATGTCTGAATCCAGCTTGGTCTGTACTGTCAAATTCTAATGTTGCTTATTTTGAAAACTACAGTAATTATTCAACTAATAGTTGTCATAGTATTGTCATAATTGTTTGGTCTGGAGGGGTGATTTGGGGGCAGAGGGGAGAAGCTAGAAGTTAAGGATTGGCATAACATTTTCTCTTTAATTATTTTCTTTGATATTTAAAAAATTAATTTTGTACATGTGTATGAGAGACCAATTTTAAAGAGAATTTAGCATTCCCCCAATTGGACATATTTTGACCAAATCACCAAAGTAGTTGATTGGTACCCAAACCATACTGTTTTTCTGATCTACTTAGAGTAAGCATTTGACCATTATATTGTGAATCTTGAAGCAGGAAATATGATATGCAATTTTCTAGATTTACTTGAATTGAGGAGGACAGGAAAGGAAGGCAGAATAGAAGGAACATATTTAAGGCCTCAGTTTTCCCCAAATTCTCTTAGAATAAAATCTTACAAAATTAAGTTCATATGGTTCTGTTCTGACATTAATGGAAGTTTAAATTTTAAGGGACTGGAGAAGTCGTCATCAGACAATCTCTTTTTAGGTATGAGAAGCTGAGGCTTGTGCTTATTGAGATGTCACTGCAATGAAGGCCAAGCTTCCCCAAGGTCTTCTGATGGCCAAGGCAGCACTCTCTGTGCTATACTGTGCAGCCTCAACCTCGGCTTACTGTGTACAAACAGGTCTGGAAAGATCCACCACTTTCCATTAGAACTTTGAGAAAAAAGCTAATCTTTCCATTTCAATTGTCTGGACCTTTCTATTACTTGATTTGAGCAACAAGAAAAAAGGCACAAACCACTTTTATAATATAATACAAATATATGAAAAAGTGTAATAAAAATGGATTTTAATATTCTGCATGAGGACCATATAGAATAAGCAAGAGTAAGCAACACCAAAAAATACTCTACAGCATGAATATGGTTAACTAAGGTATAATTCTCAGAATGGACTGCAACTCACCAACGTATGTATTAAATTCCTCTCTTTGGCATGTTGGTGAAGTGGCTGCTTGGTTGTTGCTCAGTCACAATTTAATGCTTAGTTATTACACATTGCCCAAGAGTTCAAACAGCTCTATCTCTGTATTAGAAAGCCACTCATATTTCTTATCTGTCTTTCAACTGGGCCCCGTAATGCACCTCTTCATGGTCATACTCGATTATACTATTTTTCAGATCTGTCTGAATTCATCAATTTTTCTTTTCATTAATATTTTTGAATACGTTTCTGGTTCATTTAAGTAAGAGAAAAAGTAACGTATTTTGAAGTATCATCAGGTATTTTTAAACCAGGTTTACTTATCCTTTCATTCATGCTTTCTGCTAGTTTTTTTGGCTGTTTTTAAAGTGGTCTGAAATTTTGCCAAGCAGGAAGAGGAGAAGAGAGAGGGTTGTTTGCCACCAGCTATAAAACTATGGCTGAGAAGAATGTCTGATGGCTGAAAGTTCAAGCTGTGTTGCATCTTATCTTCCCTAACTTTGATGAGAGTTATATCCATACTGTCATATTTGTTATTTTGCATACTTTTTTTGTTTACAGATCAGAGTACCCATTCAACTTTTCAACATCACTATTTTTACAGCTTCCGCCACCTTTGAAGACTTTCAGATTCGTCCCCACGCTCTCTTTGTTCATTCATACAGAGCTCCAGCTTTCTGTGATCACTGTGGAGAAATGCTGTGGGGGCTGGTGCGTCAAGGTCTTAAATGTGAAGGTAAGTTTTCTTCCCATGCAAGTTAAACATGTGCTGTTTATTGCAGCAGAATTCACAATTTCAAAGATATGTAAAACCTAAGTGTCCATCAACCAGTGAGTGGATAAATAAAATGTGGTACATATATACACATTTTACTTATCCACTCATTGGTTGAGAAACTGTTTTTTGTATGTTTATGTACATATATACATAGATCTATGCATATATGTATGTATATGCTTCTATGCATATGTACACTTATACCTATACACATATACATACATGTATATACACTGGTGTGTGTGTATACACGCCACATTCGCTTTATCCACTCATTGGTTGATGTGCACTTAGGCTGATTCCCTATCATTGCAGCTATGAACAGAAATCATAATATGCATTACATATGTATATATATAAATGAAAATACTACTCAGCAATGAAAAAGAACAAAATAATGTCTTTTGCAGCAACTTGGATGGAACTGGAAGCCATCATCCAACTGAAGTAACTCAGGAACAAAAAACCAACTACTACATGTTCTCATTTATAAGTGGAAGCTAAGCTGTGGGTACAGAGGGGGACACAGAGTGGTGTAATAGACATTGGAGAATCAGAAGCAAAAGGTTCAGAGGAAGCTAAGGGATGAAAAACTATCTATTCACTACCATGAGCGTACATTATTTGGGTGACAGCTACACTAAAACCTCAGACTTTACCACAATATAATTCATTCATGTACCGAAAACCACTTGTACCCCTAAAGCTACTAAAATTTAAAAAAATAAAAATAATGCATGCTGGAACTATCTACCCTCTATAGAAGTGTAGTAGTATCTCCCTCGGAAGTGTCTTCCAGGAATTTAAGGGGTACATGGATTCTCTCTGTTCATTTCTTTATATTTCCTGTCATGAACAAAGTCGGTCTGACCTGGGAACCCTTATTCTCGTATCTTTTCTCCTTTATCATGTGGATATGTTTCTCCCCTATATGGTATTCAATATGTTAGCAGCAGACTAAAAATAAAATTTGCCTAGTAAGTAAGCCAGAAATTGTAATAGTAGACATTGAATACATATTTGTTCAAATGAGTGGAGATTCAGGAAATTAATCTAACCATCCAAGGACACTCAGCTGTTGAGTGGTGAACTGGAACTTGTACCTGCATTTCTGCACCAGTTTTATCATATGGTAGAAAGAAACACTTTGAACTGCTCAATTCAAGATGCTATGAAACCATGATATAATCTTCAAAACTTACTCAATTTTACTCTATTCTCTTTGGATTGGGAGGTCAGGAATAGAGATCCTTGAACATTGACCAATATAGTTCAGCATTTATTATATAACTTATAAGTAAGCTACTGCAATTTTTGAACTTTTGTCTATGGGAAGGGAAGCTATGATCTAGAAGAAAGTCTGCCTAAAATATAGTTTTATGAAAATTTGTCTGTCTGGACTGCTGTGTGACACATAGAGAGATTCTATTTGATGGACTCCAGCTATGTGGGGATTATGAATAGTAAAAATATTGAAAGGAGACTGATACTTGCCTAAGTAAGGAATCTGTTTCCAATTATTTATCACCTACTGTATGGAAACCAGCATGTGAGATACTTTATATATTTTCTTAGTAATTCTACAAGGTAGTTATTACCTCTGTTTTAAAGGCAAGAAAACTGAGGCAAAGGAATTTGCTCAATGCCAGTGTTGTCTAAAAGTTGTGATGAGCTGTGATTAATATTCCCTTATGTGTCCGCTCACATTTGAACTTGTGGCAGCTAAAAATGGCTCAGATAATCTTATTTTGAGATAATCTATTTTGAGGGATTTCTATATCCCTTAAAGCCTAAGTCTGTTATCTAACAGACATTTTTTAAAATGATAACTAGCATAGTTGCTGAGCTTGTGAAATAAGATTAGAATTCAAAACCCATTAACAAATTGGAAAAATAATCAGAGAATATTCAAAAGAAAATTGGAATTTCTACATAACCTCAAGGAAAATGGAAGCTATACTGTTTTTAAAAATCTCTACTTTACACTAATATTGGAATTGCTTTTTAATTTATGATACAACAAAAATAATTTTTTGTTTTCCCTTTCCAGGATGTGGTCTGAATTACCATAAGAGATGTGCATTTAAAATACCCAACAATTGCAGTGGTGTGAGGCGGAGAAGGCTCTCAAATGTTTCTCTCACTGGGCTCAGCACCACCCGCACATCATCTGCTGAACTCTCTACCAGTGCCCCTGATGAGCCCCTTCTGGTACGGCCTCCTGTTTACCCATTTACCCATTTCCATGAGAAATCTGTGGGATGATGTGATAGCAATGTCAATCCAAGACAGGGCACTAGGAGGGAGAATGCAGCCAGGGTGTTAATGACAGTGTTTCTTCACGGTTTGTGCTGTAGACTGGTCAATACCTCATCAAATATCCCGCAGTTCTGAGTTTGCTTTTATCTGTGAGCTTAGTGATACTATAAAATATGTGAGGTTTTATCATGGTCACAGGGCCAGAGCAGCACAAACTAATGTGTTAATGTTGCAAAACATCGCTTGTCAAAATTTGGAAACCAGAGAGATACAAAATGTTCTCTGAAGATTATTAGAGGAATTTGTGGCATGGCTGAATATTTATTTTGGGAGGAAACTTGAAGTTGCTCTTAGGAAACCATGAAAGTCTTCATTGCGTGGCATTACTGGTATACATGCAGGTTTATTGTCAAAAGCTGATTGATAAATACAGTGAGAAAAATAGCACTTAATATTTTAAATATTTCCATTAGCTCTAGAATGTGTGTGTGTGTGTATCTTATAGATATGGTTAATATTCTTCTTTAAGAAAGTTAAATTTGGATTTTCCAAACATTCAAAACAAAATAAAAATTGTGGTCATTATATGAATTATTTAAAATAAAACATTCTGAAATAGGCTAACAATGTGAGGATATAAATTTCCCATATTTACCTCCTCTACCTCCCAATGGATATTACAATGATTCTATATAATCCTGTTATTATAAAAATCAATTGGAAAATGATTTTGAAAATACTAAAACATTTAGGTTGAATAGATCCCTCTAGGAGTGGAGAGGGGGAATAAATTCTGAAGACATCTATAAGAAGTATAAGATGTTATGTAAATTAGTAATTGTTTGGAAAATATTTTATTGTGGTCATGATCTTTATATCATCACAATTTTTTTACAGTGTAAACCAGGAGTATAAGTCAAATGAATGTTTATTTTAATAAGTAGGAAAGTTTCATACTCTGTTTTATAGGGCTCTCTTTTAGGGGTTTCTTGTGTTTTTAATACATCATTAAAAGAACCAAGTGGGAGGGGGGACTCAAGATGGTGCAGTGAGAACAACCCAGGATTGAAGCTCTCAGTGAATGTGTGCAGAGGGTGAGTCAGGGCCGCATTTGCAGACAGATCTTTGTTGCCCACAGAACGGGGAAATTCCCAGGTATAAAAGAGATGCAGGACGCCAGGCAGAGGTTTTGGCTGGTGTAGCCGGCAGCCGGTGCGGCCGGTGGCCGGCGCTGTAGTGCAGCGGCACTACACAGTGCTCTGCACAAAGCACACTGGTCCAGGTGCCCTGTTGAACCGGCAATCTGAGACTTGAGAGGGCTGAACTTGAGACTGAATGGGACTTGGACAGTGAGCCAGCCCAGAGATTCCAGGGAAACAGCGTTTGGGGTAGCACAGTGGGACAAACAAAATGGTGATTCCAAACGCTCCGGGTGGAGAGGTTCCCTGAGGGCACAGCTGAACCCAGGACGTTGCATCTCCGTGGGGGAGGTGTGTCCGCCATTACCGAGGCAATCCGCTCCTACTGAGGTACACGCCCATTGCTGACGCAGCCTGCCATTGCCAAGGCAACCCGCTACAACAGAGAGACTCTACAACAGGTCGTATCCCGTGGCAGCAAGGTGGAGACCGCAGTAGCAGGGCAGAGCCTGCAGCAACAGGGCGAACCTCACACCAGCAGGGCGGAGCCTCAGCAGGCAAATAGTGACTAGACTGCCGCCTAGCTGGGCAGGACAGCACAATGGACACTCACAAAGAAAGCCCCAACTCCGCCGAGACAGAGCATCTGAGAAAAAAAGGGGATTTTTATGAGTTCTGTTACAGCAGAATTAAACATAGCAGCCTAACAGCCCTGAATGAACAACAGACCTCACAGCTCAGCACTTGAGTTCCTATAAAGTACAGACTGTCTCCTCAAGCAGCTCCCTGAGCCCTCTATATCCAAAAGACTGACATTTGGCAGGCATCATTCCGGGAAAAAGATAGCAGAAAAAGAAACTGGTAGCATCCTTCACTGTTCCGCAGCCACTATAGGTGCACCCCAGAAAAGCAGGACCTGGAGCAGACCGCAGCAGTTGTACAGTGGAGGGGCTAGACTGGTAGAAGGAAAACCAAGTAACAGAAATACTTCATCATCAACAATCTGGGCGTCCACTCAGAGACCCAATCGAAAAGTCAGCAACTACACAGGCGACAGGTGGATAAATCCACAAAGATGGGAAGAAACCAGCCCAAAAAGGAGGAAAACACCCGAAACCAGAAAACCTCGCCTCCTACAAAGGACCAAAACTCCTCAACAGCAAGGGAACAAAGCTGGACGGAGAATGACTGTGACGAAATGACGGAATTAGCCTTCAGAAGGTGGATAATGAGAAACTTTTGTGAGCTAAAAGAACATGTTTTAAATCAATGCAAAGAAACTAAGAACCTTTTAAAAAGATTTGAAAAAAGATTCGAGGAAATGATAACAAGAATGGATAACTTAGAGAGGAATATGAATGAATTAAAGGAGCTGAAAAACACAATAGGAGAACTTCACGAATCATGCACAAGTTTCAACAGCCGAATTGATCAAGGAGAAGAAAGAATATCAGAAGTCGAAGATCAACTCAATGAAATAAAACAAGAAACCAAGATCAGAGAAAAAAGCGCAAAAAGGAATGAACAAAGTCTCCAAGAAATGTAGGACTATGTGAAGAGACCTAACCTACGTTTGATAGGTGTACCAGAATGTGACGAAGAGAATGAATCCCAGCTGGAAAATACTCTTCAGAAAATTATCCAGAAAAATTACCCCCACCTAGCAAGACAGGCCAACACTCAAATGCAGGAAGTACAGAGAACACCACAAAGATATTCCACAAGAAGAGCAACCCCAAGGCACATAATCATCAGATTCAACAAGGTTGAAATAAAGGAGAAAATACTAAGGGCAGCCAGAGAGAAAGGTCGGGTCACCCACAAAGGGAAGCCCATCAGACTCACAGCAGATATCTCAGCAGAAACTCTACAAGCCAGAAGAGAGTGGGGGCCAATATTCAACATCCTTAAAGAAAAGAACTTTCAACCCATAATTTCACATCCAGCCAAACTGAGCTTCAGAAGTGAAGGAAAAATAAAATCCTTTGCGAACAAGCAAGTACTCAGAGAGTTTGTCACCACCAGACCTGCTTTACAAGAGCTCCTGAAAGAGGCACTACACATAGAAAGGAACAACCAGTACCAGCCATTCCAAACTCACACTAAATGCTAAAGACCATCAACATAATGAAGAATCTACAACAACTAACGGGCAAAACAGCCAGCTAGCCTCAAAATGGCAGTATCAAATTCACACATAACAATATTAACCCTAAATGTAAATGGACTAAATGCACCAATCAAAAGACACAGACTGGCAAATTGGATAAAAAGCCAAAATCCAGCAGTGTGCTGTATCCAGGAAACCCATCTCACATGCAAGGATACACAAAGGATCAAAATAAAGGGATGGAGGAAGATTTACCAAGCAAACCGAGAGCAAAAAAAAGCAGGAGTTGCAATTCTCATCCCTGAGAAAATAGACTTTAAAGCAACAAAGACCAAAAGAGACAAAGAAGGCCAGTACATAATGCTAAAAGGATCGATACAACAAGAAGAGCTAATGATCCTAAACATATATGGACCCAATACAGGAGCACACACATACATAAGGCAAGTTCTTAATGACTTACAAGGAGACTTAGACTTCGACACAATAATAGTGGGAGACTTTAACACTCCACTGTCAATATTAGACAGATCAACCAGACAGAAAATCAACAAGGATATCCAGCGCTTGAACTCAGACCTGGAGCAAGCAAACCTGATAGACATTTACAGAACTCTCCACCCCAAATCCACAGAATATACATTCTTCTCAGCACCACATCACACCTACTCTAAAATTGACCACATTATTGGAAGTAAAGCACTCCTCAGCAAATGCAAAACAACTGAAGTCATAACAAACAGCCTCTCAGACCATAGTGCAATCAAGTTAGAACTCAGAATTCAGAAACCAGCCCAGAACTGCACAGCTTCATGGAAACTGAACAACTGGCTCTTGAATGTTGACTAGATAAACAATGAAATGAAGGCAGAAATAAAGAAGTTCTTCGAAACCAATGAGAACAAAGACACAACATACCAGAATCTCTGGGACACATTTAAAGCAGTCTCTAGAGGAAAATATATAGCAATAAGTGCCCATATGAGGAGAATGGAGAGATCCAAAATTGACACCCTACTGTCAAAATTGAAAGAGCTAGAGGAGCAAGATCAAAAAAACTCAAAACCCAGCAGAAGACAAGAAATAACTAAGATCAAAACTGAACTGAAGGAGATAGAGACACGAAAAACCCTTTAAAAAATCAATAAATCCAAGAGCTGGTTTTTTGAAAAGTTCAACAAAATAGACAGACCCCTAGCCAGATTGATTAAAAAGAAAAGAGAGAACAACCAAATAGATGCAATAAAAAATGATAAAGGGGAAATCACCACAGATTCCACAGAAATTTAAACCATCATCAGAGAATATTACAAACAACTCCATGCACATAAACTAGTAAACCTGGAAGAAATGGATAAATTTCTGGACTCTTGTGTCCTCCCAAGCCTAAACCAGGAGGAAGCTGAAACTATGAATAGATCAATAACAAGGTCAGAAGTCGAGGCAGCAATTAAGAGCCTACCACACAAAAAAAGCCCAGGTCCAGATGGGTTCACAGCCAAATTCTACCAGACACACAAAGAGGAGCTGGTACCATTCCTTCTGAAACTATTCCATATAAAGCAAAAAGAGGGAATCCTTCCCAAATCATTTCATGAGACCAATATCATCCTGATACCAAAACTCGGCAGAGACCCAACAAGAAAACAAAACTTCAGGCCAATATCCGTGATGAACATAGATGCAAAAATCTTCAATAAAAT